TGTTTTATAGCTGTCTCGTAGAGCATCTGTTGTAACTTTCGTCGTTCAGCAATAACTTCCTCGCTCTCCTCTTGGCTTTTTGTTCGTTCCTTACTCCCCATTCTTTTCAATTCGAGCTTTTCTAAAGATTTTGCTTTTTCTTTTGGCGGTATCTTACGTGTAGGCTCCATTTCTTGACTTTTCGTTCTCTTTATTTCGGGGAGAGTTAAAGATGATTGCGTGGGCAATGATTTTTGAGTAGAAAATGTTTTGTTTTCGCCAGTTTTTAAAGCTGATTCCGCGGAAGTAGCTTTTTCACTTAACATCTTATGTTCACTGGATTTAGTCACTTTAGATTCACTAGCACTCTTTGAGATTGTTTTAGGTTCTGCAGAACCTGACTTTATTTGTTTGTCGTCCTTAGGTAGAGTCTTTGGATCTGGAGCTTTAGGTCTACCTGTTAATTTTGTAGGAGTTTGTCTAGATAATTTTGGCTTTTCTTTTATGGTTTTAGAAGCCTCTTTCGTTTGCGGAGGTTTCTTGCCAATATACTCTTTCGGAGGTTTCGGAGGTACGACACCTTTCGGGGGAAGTTTTGGTTTACCTTTAGTTGAAATACTTAATGGAGGTTTCTTTTTTGTATGTGCTACATCCGGTACAATCTGATCCCTATCCTTAAGTTCGGTCTTAGTTTTCAATTCTTTGCTTATCTGAATTTGTTCAGGCACTATTCCATTATCTGGAATACGGATTTTCTCGCCAGTTTCAGCATCTGATACTTCTGTAGATTTGTCGCTAATCAAATAGTTTTCCAATCCACTATCTCTGTCTGTTTGTTGTTGATCCTCCTCTTCCACAGTATCATCTTTACTCGAGAAAGCATTAAGTGGCGGTAGTTTGTTAACTGGCACGACAGGAGCATCCAGACTTCTGGCACGTCTGCCAGGAAGGGGAGAATCAAGAGCTTGCTGTTTTTGCAATAATGAAAATGCAGAACCCTCGGACAAGTTTAATCTTGCATGGGCAAAAAGTAAGGGACTTTGTCCTTTACTGCGTAGAGAGGGAGATATTATTTCTGTAATTTTAGTTTTTGGTGGGACTTTCAAGTCCTTAAGATCGTTTTCAATTTCGGCTCGCAATATCGCCTTTTCTCTTTGCCTTTCATCGTCTATTGCAGTAAGTTCATTATCTGTTATTTGATCATCCTTCAATGTTTCGTCTAAGGATTTTTCAGCATCCTCTCGGTCTGCCTCTTCGACAGTTTTTAATATATCTGGTGTCTCGGAAAAAACGGGTGCCATATCAGTAGTTTTTATGTTAAATTCATCCTCTGAACTGGGTATAGAAAATGATCTTTCCGAAATCCTCCTCAATTCAGTTTGTTGGACATTAGGATCCAATCCATTTTCTACTTTTTTTTCTACTTTCTTGCGTGTAGTCGGAGGTGAACCTTCAACCTCCGTGGAAGACATCGTGTACTGCAAATACTTTCTCTCTGATTCGAATTTCAAAATGGACTCCATCTCTTTCCTCATCTGTGGTGGAGAAAACTCAATTCTTGTTGGTGTTGCTTCAGCACTGCCAAAAACATCATCAGAGTCAAGCGACTCATCGTCAGAACTAAACGAAGTTATTCTGACTTTTGTTTTATTAGACTTATTTACTTTTTTACCCGGTTGCATTCTAGGTTTTATTACTCGCTTTGGCTTGTCAGTCTTAATTTTATCTTTAGTTTTTGGCACTTCTACTATGGGTTTAACTTCTTCACTCTTTTGGACGGCCTTCTCCTCCGTTTTTATTTCCTGTTTTGGTGGTTTTTCAGGGGCAACAGCAAATGATTTTAGATGTTTCAGACTTTCAGTTTTCGAGCTAGTAGGGGAATCACTTTCAATTTGACTTAACTTGGAGTTAAGTGTTTCCAACATGATAGGGTCTATATGAGTGATGTCACGTTTAGGACTGGAGATATGCTGAATTGGTGGTACAGTTTTATCTACTTCTAAAGTAACTGGATTTACTTTAGACAAATCAATATTTTGAGTAAATAAGAACGACGTTTCAGATTCACTTTTTATTACTTCTTGTTTTTGCTTTTCTTTGCTTTGAAGAGATTGGTTACTTGGCATTTCTTTAACTTGAAAATCGATTACTGTTTTCTTTCCCAAATCCTTTTCGTATTTTTTAACTTCTTCAATCATTGCCGTTCCGTTCATTATATGTCGTTTGTGTAATACATACGGAATATCGTCGCCCTTTGGAGGCAAGTTTATAAAGTCTGACTGGTTCTTCACTCCCAACACTTCAAACTGACTTTTCGGCACTTCGAACTTTGTTTTCTGGCCCTCAATTTCTCTTTTTAATATATCGAAATGGCCAAATTCAGCCGTGGGAATCTCGAAATGCGTTCCTTTAAATTTGGTAATAGGGGGCGCACTAGGAATTTGTTTATACAAGTAATCTTCATCACTAGATTCAGCTGGTGTTAAATCAATAGACTTTTGATGCATCAATAATAATCTTCTGGAGTTCGAGTTCAATCTTTGCCTAGCTAAAGAATTTGGATCCGATTTGGTCCGTTCTATAGGTTGATGTAATGGCAAATCGTGACATATTCTGGGTTCAATTTCCATAAATACGTCTCGATAACTTTTCACCTCTTTTTTCTTCGATTTTGCATCAATGTTTGGCACCACACCAAAACCGTGATCGCTGAAATCACTGCTTTCTTGCAAGGATTGAATTCGATCTTCATCAAAACTGAATATATTACTTTCTGATTCTGTAGAACGTTGACCGCTGCTGTGTTGGTGTTTGACACCTTCAATTTCCGTTGGCAATCCTACAATACTTTCCGGCCAAATATGCGTCGTTTTGGCGGCTTGAGAAAGAGTATTCTGTTCTATATCGTTTAAAATCATGTTCACCCTCATACTTTGTTCTGTTTCCATAGAACCGTTTGTAAAATCTGGATAGGCTGGAATGACAGGTTCAACTATATGCCTAGGTTTTTGAGTACCGTAATTTCTTTCGAAGTTAATTTTTCGGTCATAGTCAACTCTTTTGGAGTATCGTATTTCTTCAGGCTTTGACGGGGCATCAAAATATTCGCTTTTAGATTCCATGCTAGAGGTCCTCGATTCACCGTAATGATTCTGTTCTTCCAGACTATCGCTTTTGTTTTTACGTAATGTCCTTTTGTTCTCATAGTCGCTTTTGGATTCTTGACTTGAAGTTCTAGAGCCTATATCTCTAGATTTCTTTAAACTTTCTCTACTCGATCGTGATGTTTTTGATTCGTAGTAATCGCTTTTAGATTCTAAGCTTGAAGTTCTTGAGCCATGTTTAAAAGCTTTATAGAAACTTCCGTCCGATTTTCGAGGCACAATTTCTCGCGGAAAATCTCTAGGATCTTCCATTAGGAAAATATCCTGATCGCTAACGCTTTTGTATTTATGCCGTGAACCATGTTCGGACTCACTATCTGAGGGTAAATAATTTCCCGAATCTAAGCTGCAGCTTCTAGTGTTGAAGGCTTTCGATCTTTTGTATTTATAATCTCCGGAAGTACTGTCATCAGATTTCTCGATGAGTTCATAACTGTCGTGTGATAAATCGTCCTGAGAGTCGCGCAAATCGTAATTTCCTGGATCTTCAACGGACTCTTGGGAAAAGGAACCTGTGCCTGGAAAACTACTCGAGTAAATCTTTTGGGATGATACCATAATATCTTGCTGAATCTCTAAACTACTATCGCGAGAGCTAGCGCTGTAAAGTGCCCGATGGTCATCGTAAACGGTGATAGGAGAGTCCTGTTTGCGTTCGTCCAAGCTGATGGCCGCCTTTTCCAACGGTTTGGGTGATTTGGCGCGACGCTTCGATCGACCCGTCTCTTCGAAGCTGAAATCGTGTAATTCGCGACAGCTGGCGCTGCGCTGCCACATTTTTCGTTTGGATGGTGGAGCGCTACGCGCCACCTCGATGGGGCTAATGGGACGCGGACCCACGTCAGTCTGTGATTGAGTCTGGGAGGGGCAATGATCGCTAGTAAAGACCTGGTGAGTATGATCCAGGCTACCCTCCGATTTGTGACTAGAGGGCGTCCGGGTGGAAATGTGAGTGCGCATGATGGTACCTATACCGGGTTAGTAAAATCAAATTAGGATATATGATGTTAGTAGCATAACATTAAATCCCTAACTACATGTTTCATGACTCAAGGCCAATACTTGGGAGTACTAGATGTTTGAAAATAATTTTATAAAGAACAATAAAAACGAATTTGCATTTTTTATTCTATTTTTATTAATTTATGAGACTTAATGTCTGAAATATCACATATTGCCTATATCAAAATCTGTAGTAGGCTTCATAAGAAAAATCTAATAATAAGCACGTGTATCGTGTTTATCATTCGTATTTGTAGACCGATTAAACAAAGTCCACAGGAGAAGAATGGGAAAGCAACCTAGTAGTGAACACTCAAGAGATAGCAGTCTACACAGATGCTTACGTGGGTAAAGCTTGTGAGACGGAATATTTCCAACGACGACGACTGCAGAGAATGCGGAGAGGAAAAAGAAACCATGCAGAGAGGAAAAAGAAGACCAGAGCGCCTGTTGTGCCATTGTCCGGCACTGGAAAAGCGACGCTTTAAAACATTAGAGCATGGTTTATTTAGAGGGATTAGAGGAAGCAGCAGAAGAGAGAGAGAGAGAGCCAACATCAACGACCTCGGGAACTTTGTAAACAGCTGGAAGTGCTTTAATGCAAAGAAAGAGTCAGAGGAAGGACAATAATACAGGGGTATCGCAATGGGATCAAGGCTTCCAAGTGAAGGATCAAACAGAATCTCAAACCCCAGCAAGCTAACCTAAAGAAAGTGCTCACTTTATTGCCCTTTTATAACGTTTCTACTGTATCTCACTATCAATTCTTTGCCAAACCAATACATCTTCTTTGATACTCTCTAGTGTTGGCATTCAGTTATGAGACCTATACTATTACGAAACGGGCAAAGGTACCTGTGTCTGCTCTGTGGACAGCCGCGCGAACGGCGAGCGGTGACGCAGGCTTCCGATTGGCTGTGGCTCCTGTGGGCGTGGCCTGGGTGCGACGGGGCGAGGCCAGTGGGCTCGCGGTCTCCGAACTCTCGCCCGAGACCGATCGCGTCTCCGTCGGAGAAGGCGAGCTCGTCGTCGGAACAACAGCCGGCGGCCGCGGTACCATAACACTGGGTCTGGTACTGGTACTGGTGGTGTCTGGTGCCGAGCTCCAGGACGTAGCTGTGCCTAGGGGGCGAGAGGCTGATCTCGTCGTCGGAGAAGCCGGGCGCCGCGACCCATCCGATGCCGGAACTGCGCCCATCGAGCCCAGGGACGCTGAGAGCTTGGACGCTTCCACTAAAACATGGTGGATATCGGTTATACATCTAGTATTATAAAGCCTATGGTAATGGAACTATAGTATATTTTTTTCTACAATAACAATATATCTGCCAAATCGATGAAGAAAATGTTGTTTAGGAAATATACCTTAACGCTTAATGATTCTCATAAAATGATACTGATGTATGTCAAAACTCGATAGAGTAGTGTTTCTAGTTTCTTTTACTTATATCTGGAAAACTGTGACTCCTAGAGAAAATTATTTTGTATACACAGGGTGTTCCTTAATGACATGCTAATATTTAAGGGGGTGATTATTGGACCTATTTTAAGAAAAAACTTCGTTCTAAACATCTTAACGTTTGAGATACAGGGTGGTAATATTAAAAAAAAATGTTTCAGAATAAATCTGAGGTTATTATAATTATCTTTATGGAACTTCATACACGTCTTCTATGCATAAAACTGAATTTTTGTGGCGTACAAAATTTTTTTGACGTATCTCTTAATTTCCATCCAGCCGATGCAGAAATGATTTCCACACAACAATCACCGCATCAGATTTTTGGCGATTTGACTTTGAAGTAAAATGATTTTTATTTTTTTACACAAAAACTATGCATCCGACGAAAAAAAACAGGAGATGAAAATTGTTTAGAAATGAATGAAGATTTTGAAAATAATTTTATTCTAAGAGAAGTCAGTGGCGTACCATTTTTCCTTCAAAAATATTCAATTCAAAATCCGTATCGACGACACTGGTTGAAATAAATAAAATTGGTTGTACATCAAAATAGGTATTTGAATGCATAGAAAATGTGTACCAAATTTCATGAAGATATCTATAATAGCATCGGAGTTATTACGAAAAAAATATTTTTTTAGAAAAATTTACAACCATGTAGTTATAAAAGTTAAGGTGTTTAGGACATACATTCATATGAAGTTTTTATCTTAGAATATGTCCAGGAATTGCCCCCTTAAATATTAGATCTGAGATCTATTTATAGAACATATTTACAGCTTAATGTAATAAAGCATTTTACAATAAGTATTATGTACACTGCTTTGAATAAAAATATTATGTGGAAGGAGTATAATAATGCTATCCATGGACAGACGGACAGCATGGTAGATGGACAAAGGGCTCTAGGGTGGGGATCCTTGACAGTTCTGTTTGACGATTCATTTGACACATATGAATTTTATTTGAAATTTTGTGGATTTGTCAGCCTTTACTGAGCTTATTTTATGTTATTTATTATTTATTCAGTTTATTCTACTACTGATAGTTGTTTAAAGGTAGTAAATCTAGATGGAAATTGTGGCAGAACTTAAATTAACAGTGACACTATTGCGATTTATCGAAAAATACTGTAAAATAGTTGGTTGTGTAGCGTGCGGTAGATCTCGGTCAAAAATCGAAGGAAATAATGGAATAACTTTTCACTAGTAAGTGACTATATATAATATACATACATGTAGTAAACCGATCATTTATGAAATTCACTTAAAATTAACTAATTATACATTTTTTCTTTTATTTACTATTTGTCAAAGATTAGATGTCAAAAAATTTAGATACGTTAATTTGATTTACCTGCTTCAGTAGCGTATCGGATGTTTGTGTTAATAAATAATTATTATAAACTTATCTATTTTTATTAGAATTATATATTTTTATAACAATTTTAGTAACTACCAACATTTATTCACAACGTAAAATAAAAAAAAACAAATTATTGAGTCTACACGACAGCATATTTTTACATGTTTTGAATAAAATTAGAACGGCACTGATAAACCGGAATTTAAGTCGGCCATTTTAGGACCCCGTCGCGTTCGATCTAAGATTTTTGATACGCTCCTTCCTTAATCTTTTTATTCAAAGGTTTATTGTTGAGTATTTTTTTTAATCTTAGGTTATATATGTACAATTGTATAACTTGCTTAAAATTAGAAGGGCCTAGAGGAAAAGCTTGATAAATACCAATTTCTTAACTTCAGGGTTTTACAATATTATGGTAGGATGATAGTAGGTCTAACTGGTCCCTACAAACAAAATGTATAAACTCTGCCTGGCAATAAACTGTTAAATCCTATGATATATGCCTAGTAAAAATATACATACAGGGAAAGAACCTGATAACAAGCTGTCCAGGACTCACCTGCAAAATTAGTAAACGGTTAGTCGATTATCATGTTTTTCCCTGAACCCTTCATTTTATAGACAGATTTATAGATAAAATTCCTATTCTCTATTTAATACAAGCGTAAAACCAATTCAATTTTTCCCTGAAACGAAGCCATATCATCAATTATGCCGGCTAGAGGATTTGTACGCAAAGCCGTACCATACCTAGGTAATATGATCTAAAATAAGGTGCTACCTACCACTCAAACTGCTGTCAGCCAAAGGGAGGAGGGGGTGCGCGGAAATGCTGTTCCCGACCGCGCTCGTGTGCATGTTGGAGGCACTCGAGTGCGCACTCGAATGCCGGAAAGAGTGAGACCTAGGCAAGAGAACGAGGAAAGTCAGTCTCAGCATCGGACGGAAATAATCTACTAACTAATACACGGCTATTACAGTACCGATTCAACTGGAATAAGCTGAGCTTTTTTCTATTTTTTTTTTATTTGGCCTTTAAAAGTGAGTTGCTAGTTGTCGATTGTTGATAAATTAATATCAGCTACAGTATAGTTACAAAAAATGTTTTTTATTGTTATTTTTCGAAATTTTTCTTCGTTTTTGTGATTTATAAATACTAGTTTTAAGATATATCTCAAAATAATGATGTTTTCTAAATATTCTACGTACACCCCAAACCTCTGGACGTTAGATATATAAGTAAACAATTTCATGAAAAAAAAACAAAGTGTTTAAAAGTGTTACAAACTTAATATTGAGAATCTGCTCCAAAAAACTTATTATAATTTGTCTTTTTAAAATAATGCAGCATTTTTAAACATCAACAATTGTTTAATATTTATACCAATTTGGTAGGTAAATGGAATTCTACAAATAAAAACAGCAATATGTTTGGTAACATTTTAGTAACATTATGTTTCCCCATCTGTACCGATCAACTTGCAACTCTGGCACTACTGAACCAAAGAAAAAAAACAAATATATAACTAAAACCGACATATATTATAAACATAGAACTTCTCTAGTGGACATAGATTATTTTTAACCCTTTGAATAAACTCTTTAACCTCACACACCCTCTTCAGATATAAATAACAGCGCCAAAACTTAAATTTTCATCAAATTAGAACAATTTTTAGATCGCTTTCATATGTAATGTGCAAATGTGTTTTATGATGCGTCTATGATCAAGCTGGCTTTTATTTTGATAGTTATCCAATATCTAGTTGTATTTCTCAAATAGTTACTATATTTTTTAGAAATACTAAATTCTCTTACCCTTTGTCATCTGCATGTAACAACAACAAAGAGATAAGCATATCTGTAGCTGGTAACGAGTAATAGGTATTATTTTTTCTTTTTATTTACGATTTGAAAAATGTTCTTTCAAAAACGCATTGTATTTACTGGAATAATTAAAACGAGGGATATATTCTGAGATCGAATGGAAACGGTGCCACAATAGGCTTATAACATTTAATTTTGATTTGTACTATGTGTACATCTATTGAGAGCTGATCATGAGCAGTTTAAAGTAATTGACAAACGTTAAAACTACACTATTTATAATAGGTAAATAATTTAAATAATGTTCAAAAAAAATAGTTCTTAAATTATAAAAAAATAAAAAATAGTGTCCGAACAAACACAAGAGGACGTTTCTTTTACTTTCATTTCATGACATGTAAGACAAAGTACTGTGCGAGGCTGTTTTGTGCTAGTAAAGTCCAAATATCAAGTGGAGCGTGCCATTTAATTTATTTTACTGTGTTGCTAAATTAAAATATGTAATTCTATTTATAGAAGATGTACTGTATAGAAAGATTAAAAAATGAGAGAACGTTTCCAAACACACAAATCTATATAAAAAAATTGTCGAATTTTAAACTACACCATTTAAAAATTATTTTTACTCAGTATAAAAATATATTACAATATTCTTAAAACCATCTGGCAGTAAGCGTCATTTAAAAATAAAGAAAAATTCGTGCCTGGTAAATGACAACTTAGGATTGACCTCGCCAAAATTATCATCGATTGTCATTTCTCAGCCGTCTTTGACGCCGTTTTTTTTTTCAATCGTATGGTACTTTCTAACTACAAATACATTTATTTCTTTTATATTAAGTAAGTCATTCAAATAGCTAAAAATGCTCGCATTGAAAAAAATATTAATGTTTATTTCAATTTCTCTGTCAATGCATGGTTGCTTACATCGACCACCATACATCCCTCATGAGAGATGTATACAGGATGGTTCAAACTGTATTCCGGAAACTTCGGCAGCATATTCTGTAGATAAAAATAAGTAAAAAAGTTCATATTGTTGCGGGCCGGTGTGGACTCGACCTAACCTCACAATATGGCCCGCCCTCGGATGACCTTAACATCGCATAGACACCGCAATGATTCATTCGTTCGAGAAGAATCGAGTCCCACTGGAATGGACTAGTACATACGAGAACATTCGAAAACCTTCTCTACGCACCTAACGATCTATGGACAATTCTAGAGTTCTTTACCTGTCGGTATAAAAGCCGGCGGCGGTGGCCTACAGGGGCAGTTATAAATATACCAGTGCAGTTGACGCGCTAAAATTCAAAATAAATTCTTAGTTATAAATCGTTTGTAAATAGTTCTATAAGTCTTTTATCTTTATTGTTTTTGTTAATTAGTGTTAAATAAATAGTGTTTAAATAAATTGTGACTTTCTATCCACACGGAACCGACGAAAAACGTAACAATATAAATGTAGGTTATGTCCTAAAATGCTTAGTTTCTGAGATGGTACAGGGTGTAGAAGTTTCATTTTTATTTTGATTTTTTTCAAATACTTTATGAACGTCAATGTTTAGATGAAAATTGGTGTCTGGGAGAGAGTTTTTTGACATAAGAAATTTGATGTTGATGTCAATATGACCCTACATGTGTTTTAACTGTTATGAAGAGTAATAACTTTTTGTCCCTACCTGTATTAAAACAACTGGGTGAAAAAATATACAGTTCCATGATTTTTTACGTAAAAACTGTCTCTTGGTGAAAATCGCTACGGGCAGCCACTCTCAAGTTATTTACTCAGATTAAGAATAAAAGTTATTTACAATGGAAATAATCAATACATCTGATTATTGACAAAAAATAAACATGTTTAGTAGATAGTTAATTAGTTATTTGACTGTTTTATGTCAATGATGACAGGTATTGATAATTTCGATTCCAAATATCTCGAGAACCATTACTGGTAGCGATTTTTACCAAGATACTTTTTTTACGTAAAAAACGTCGTAAATGTATATTTTTTACTCAATAGTTATATACAGGTACGGACGAAAAGTTATTACTCTTCAAACCAGTTAAAAAATATGTAGGTGGCGCCCTCTACAAGTAGGAGTCATATTGATATCAAAATCAAATTTCTCATGTCAAAAAACTTCCAGACACCAATTTTCATCCAAATATTGACGTTACTTCAGAAATTATTTGGAAAGAAGCGAAATATAAATAAAATTTCGACACCCTGTATCTCCGAAACTAAGCATATTAGGGCATACATTTATACGAACTTTTTTACTTATTTTTATCTGCAGAATATGCTGTCGAAGTTTTCGGAATACAGGTCGGACCACCCTGTAGAGAAACGGGTTTTCGTCGAGCACATCTTAGACTCAATGTGTGTGAGCTATACTGATTAACTCAATGAAGACATTTACTCTTAATTTTATATAATAATAAACCTGAAATCTCTTTAATATTAACAGGAATTGGTTGAATTAATTTTATTTTTACTTTTAGTTTACATTATATTAAGTCCAAGAAAGTGTCAAAATATAATGCATTACGGATTTATTATAATACATATATACAAATAAAAATTTATTACCTAATAGTCATACCGAAGTTTAGTTAAATAAAAGCGACCAAAAATTGCTTTAAGAAACTACCCTTCCTCCTTCCCTTAACCAGGAACGAAGCAAATTGGTTACCAATCAATAATATGTATGTCGAAAACAGCATTTTGCATCAAAAAATATGTATATTCAAAAGGCTAAAAACAAACATGCTCCACACGTCACAAAAATACTACTGTCAACGTCTCTTTACAAAATGGAAAGGAAAAATAAAAATCTTTCTAAAAGGTCAAATATGGCGTTCCAGAACCAACAATAAAAGAAGCAACTATACCAGTGGACTTTATTTTGATCAATGCTGAAAATATACTGAATATTTAAAAAGCCTGAGAATATTCAAATATATGAAAAATTAAGTAAATGAGAGCAATAGCTATATTTATTTGTAGATACAACTTTTCATTTTCATCAGTATTTTCCAGAAGATAAGAGTTCTTAACATTTATAAAATATGATTAATGTTATAAAGAATATCGTACTCATTGCTACGTCATATTGTAGTCATAGTTAAATTTCTACAAAATAAAGATACAGAGTTGTCAGTTGTTTGAAAACAACTCCATAGAGAGTTGTGCCCGTCATTTTAATTTAACAAGCTTCTAGTTTGCTCAACATATTTCTGATTACAATCTTTACATGAAATTTCATAAATATCCGAACTTTCCAGTGCAATATTAACTAAAAATTTAAAGAACATATTATGGTTTAGAGGGACAAATCTTGCGTTGCTCAACATATTGTTAATAAAGATCATTATATAGGCACAGATTAGGTAAACTATATGTATACAGATAAAAATCTAATCCCTAATTCGTGGTACGAAAATTGTTTTTATGACGATGTGCAAACGAGTAAAATTTCCTGTGCGCAAAATTAACTGGCGTAAAATAACAATAAACAGCGCAATAGAGATATATCGCTAAACCGAATAGCGTGCATGGACGTTAATAAGGCCAGGTGTTATTTTCTTTACGTGAGGTGGTATTAACTCTCTTCATTTATAGTTATCGGAAAGAATTCTGTTGGCGTGGCGTCCGCTATTTAAACTTAACCTAACTTTGAATTTAAAACTTTGAAATTGTTTTGTTTACTAGGTATTTTAAAACTAAAGGGCTAAAGTGCTTATTTCCAGTGCTTTATGGTTCAACGTCTGCCAGTGGGTTTAGGGCAACAAGCAACAAATTCTCTTAGAAGGGCTAAGTCGTCATCTGCTGTAAACCTAAGCCTCTTTATAGGTTTTTTAATATTGGAAGAGGTGGAATCCATATTTTGGGCCATATTTATTTAATTAAAACTAATCTCAGCTACTTATTTTATCAAATTATTAATATCAAATTACCTAATAAAACTAAAAAATTATTAATATCAAATTACCTAATAAAAGTAAAGTAATAATTCAAAACAATTCAAACATAACCTAAAATAAAAGATCTCGCCGGCCGGCCCCGGTTGTCAAATACCGGCACACGCCCATTTAAGCAATTTTTAAACGTTATTTAGAAATAGCGCTTGGTGTAATTGATCCGCAAATTACGTCAGGCGGTAACGTTATTAGCGGGTGTTGCGTTAAAAATTGACTCGCGCATATCGTAACCATGATAAGGTACGCGTAAATACTGCATGACGCTATTCGGTTTCCGATATCTCTCTAATAACTGTGCCGGTCAGGTGCTGTGCACAATTTTAGAGGCCATAAGTGGGCGTGCTAGGTGCGCAAACTAGTAACCTAACTAGTGCCCGATTCCGAAAATTGGAAACACGAAAAACAATAAAGAAAAAACAAAGTTTATAATCTGTGGTATAGATAATAACAATTTAAAATTAAACAAGTCTGAAATTACAGGCAACTAGATGCACAGAGAGCGTTAAAATTAATAAATGTAAAGATAATATGAAGAGAGATAATGGTCCAATTCCTTCCATTTCTCTGTTTTTATTGCTCTAGTCTCGATAATTAATTGTTACGTTCGGTTGGTTTTGACTCGCTTGGCGAGTTTTGCAGCCTTTGGTCAGTGCCAACAAGCGCCTATATAAACGTTAAATTTGTAGATATTAGTTTAGTTTTAATCATCAGCTGATGATTCTAACAACTGTTTTGGTGTATTGTTGTAAATTAGTGTTTTATTTCGCTGTTCTGACACCAAAGGACCCAAATGTAAACGTTGATACAACGCTGCTTTGTCACAGTTAATCACTCTGTATATTATATTAGGCCATAACGGAAACACAACACAAGAAAAATAACTAATAGTAAAACTTTACTGTAATCTGAAAATTATTATTTGTTGATATGACAAGAAAATTGTATTAAATTTATTGCTCTGCATTAACTATCCTTCATGTATTTGAAATATAAGATGCTTTTTAAATATCCAGTTTTAAATCTTGAGTATCTCCAAGCAGGTGCTTTTCGATAATCAATTGGAAAGTCATTACCCGTCAAAAATATCGATCTACTGTCAAAAAAAGCTCAAGACGTAGCAAATTCTACTAAATGCATCGTATTATTAGGTGTCGGTTTTTATTAACAAATGTTTTTATGTTGGTATTAGCAAATTTAATTATTTGTTTTCTTTGTTTATAATATCATAAGTTAAGTGAAATACATGCAGCGTACCTTTGGAAAGTCTGCCTTTTGACGTAATTATCTCTGACGAACTCTACAACTTGCTTCTGCGTTTTGCCGCTATACCTAAATAAAGAACAAAAATATTTTAAGAAAAAAATTATATTAAAAAAAATCAGCAATAATTATATTTAAATACAGGTGCGAGGAAGTCCAATATAATCGTCGTTGTCGAATATACAAAAAAAGTTTTATACAGATGTTGCATTGTTTATAAAGGGGCATATCCTCAAATTATTTTGTGGTATAGAGGGTGTGCCAAAAAGTTATGATAAAGTTTTAAGTTTTTTTTTTAAATTGCACCCCAGTATTATATCGCTTCCTCAGGCAAACACATAATGGCACAGCTAAAAGTATCTACTACAAGATATGTAAAAATTGTCAAAGTATGAACAAAATTATTGAGTTATTAAAAAAAGTATATAAAAAAATTATTTTAAGCATTAGAAACTTTTAGCAATTATTATTCTTGCCGGTGTGAAAATAAGATACATCGAAATTATTATCCAACTAAATAACTGAGACTGCCATTTGTGTCTTTCTATTTATTATCCTCTACCTTTATTCGATTGAGTAGAAAAATTCCACTTACCTAAACGAACTACCTCTCGAAAGTACCCTTGTTTTATGCCTTGAAACAGTCTTTACCGATGAACATCTAAAGAAACCATGATTTTCTACACACTTTTTCCAAAAATTTTTACATTCATTTCGGCCTTCAAAAAAGAATTCTACCGTATCTTTGTAATAGCCCTAAAAACAAAATATGATGATTTAAAACGATAACAAAAGCCTTTACACTATTAATATATTTAAATTCTTGTTTAAGGAATATATCATACGATCGAAAAAAAAAACGGCTTCAGTGATGGCTAGAAAATAAAGGTTGCTGACATTTTGTATGTAAAATTATATACGAAATAACATCGTTCAAAGTCAACTGGACGCCATCTTTTTTTCGATCTTACGGTATAATATTGTAATTTATTTTCAGGAAGTTATATTGACTGTTACACTTTCACCTTTTTGTTCTACTGTAACATTTGGAAATAACAGAGTTTTGCATTTTTTTTTCAAGTGTATTTTATCGATTTTGTTCCTTCAAAATATACTATAGTAAACGCCACGAATGTTTGGGAGTGATTCATCGCTTGATGAAGTTAGAATCGACACGCGCGCTATCATTTTTACATTAAAAACGTAAATTTTTACCGCAGACGTAGGTTTTTAAATGCCCGGTCTAATCATCTGCCTGCGCTCCTCCTACTTATTCTAAAATGTTAGCGTGATTGACAAAGACGATATTATATCGCGTTTCTTTGATTGATTCGTTTCTATGCGTCAGTCCATTGGTGTGCTTGCAGTGCGACCAATGGGGCATTCCATTTTATATTTATAACCAAATATATTTTTGACAAGACTTTGACAGTTAAAACAACAAATTACAACAGATTATATATTGATTATTATATGACTTGAAACACCACGGCACTGGAATTAAGTTTTATGTGACCTTGAACAGATTAGTTCACATGGTAGCGACCGATGAATCACTCCCAAACATTCGTAGGGTTTACTATATTATTAATCATTTTAAGTCATTTTAGTATAAATTACCTTTATTTAGAGCTTATGACGAATCCAAGGTGACAATTTTGAAACTAGCAATCGGGAAAATATATTAGGACAAAAATACTATCAGAAGTATTTCAACTACATATCAAATGATTGGAAGCGGAGCATCCCAACCTGTATTTGAGACCTGTATGGTGATTTTTTTAAGAGAGTCAAAAATGTTGCTTACTTTTAAATACCGACATTGAATACTAATTAATTATAAGACATAAGATTGTGCTATAAGAAAATCGATTGCTATATTGTCACCCTGTATAGTTCTTTAAATAATTTAAGATTTTACATTAATTCTTTAATACCGTATGATAGAAAAAAAACGGTGTCAGCGATGGCTATAAAATGAAGATCGCGTCATTTTATATGGGAAATGTCACCGATCGTCATTTTCCAGCCAACTGGACGCCGCTTTTTTTTTCGATCATAGGTACATTATATTAGTAATATCGTTGATTGAAGAAATAAGATGTGCAAATTATGGGCGATTTCACAAAACCTGTCCGAGGTCTAGTTAGCGTTACCGTTACATGTCCGAGATTTAGTTTAGCTCTGCGCCGCTGGGCGCTGATAGTCGTTTATAGCGCAGCGGATAAAGAATACTGCTTTCAGTCGACAGAGTGCCTGGTTACCGGAGACAGTGTTACCAGAACTACGGATTAATCCGTAAATTTACGGATTTTGGGCACAGTACATTAATAATACGGATTTTCTATCATTAAACAATTTAATATAATATTATATGATTAAACAAAGAACGGCGTCAGAGTTGGCTTGGAAATGAAGATCGCTATTATTTCATATGTAAAATATTATGGTAAATGCCAATAGTTCGTCATTTCCAAGCCAACTAAACGGCTTTTTTCGATCATACAAAATAGTCAGTACCTAAAAAAGATAAATTATTTTTGTTGTTTATTCTATATTTAACACGAATATATTTTTAATACATAAACGCGGATTTTTCATCCCAAGATATTTCCTTCAAACGTATTACAGATAATACGCCTTTTAATATGGCAACACTGTCGCTTTCAGTTCCACACCGCCTACGATATGTCTTCGCTGGCCGAATTAGAGAAAATAAGTGTTTTATGCGTTGGCCGCAGAACGAGTAGAGGCTCCACCGTACAGCACTTGAGACGTAAGGGGAAATCAAATCAACCTTGTCACGAATTCGCCAATTAGGTTGCATATCTTCCCAGTTCTTCCAATCAACGGTAATATTTAATAATTAAATACTAAATCTAAGCAAACAAATACATATCATCTCAGTTTCTTCCAATTAATTTTAACTGAAATTTATTTAAACCCAAAACTTCAGTTTATTTATAAAATAAACAAAATAAAACAATTTATATATTATTTTTAATTCCACAGTAAAAGGCGCAAGTTAAAATATAAGTAGCACATTAGCCATAGTTCCTGTTTAAGCTGAGTGGGAAAAAGCGGATCGAGAGTAATATTAATAATAAATAAATTTTACTTAACGTACATATCCTTCCGGATGCAGTTTGATTAAAAATCGTTTCCTTTTGAATGAGATTTTCCTAATTTTCGCCCAGGAGAACGTATTAATTTTCGTATAATTCTGGAAAACTATAATGCCCATATGAGCAACTGCTAAATTTAAGGAAACATTCTCGTGGTCCTTGGCCTGGTGCATTTTGATTCCATATAATTCGCACCTTCTGGCTGTTTCGAGTAAATTTAAATCTGCTTCGGCTGGTGATTGACCTCTGAAATTAAAATAAATATTAAACAGGTATGTATTGAAAATAACACTTTCAGTAGTTAATTGAAAATCCAAAACCCAAAAATAACAGCGGTAAAATTTTGTGCTTGGCGATCCTAACATCATCAGCTGTTATTTTCATACCTGTTATTTTTTTATAGTTGTTGTGAAGTGTTACCAAATAACATTTTATTTATAAATTATTGTTAAATAACGTGTATATACTTAAAAATTGTAAATATATTAAAGGTTTAGATATTTCTTTGCAAATACATGATATTTTTAAAATTTACCATTTAGAATGCATATCTGTATAAAATGTATTATTTTAATTTTATATTGTGTTATTGTTTATCATGATATTCTAGTCATTTAGGCCAAATTGATAATAAATTAGTTTGATACACATATTTTGCTTCTTGTAGCGTAGCTGACTAGAAATTATAATGCTGTTTTCACAATGAGTCTGAAGATTATTAACAAACAATACATTTTTAATAATTCATAGAATTGTATAGACGATATTCTTTGGAAAATTGTCTGTTGAAATTGTTTGGAAACAAAGTCTACTGAATGCTATAGTGTTACAAAGGCAGTAGGTACCTACAAAGACATGATAATAGAATAACAATGTATTGTAGAATAACTGTTGTATGTTAATCTCCAAAATTGTTGTAGTTTACGTAGCTGTTATTAGGTAATAAGTCTATATTTTTTTAGAAAATTCTTTAGCTAGATCTCTAAATAAATTTATTAGCTCTAGTAACAGATTATTAAAGAACACATTGTCATCTCCTGATATTAATCAAAATTCATCTATTTTGTGAAAATGGTATAGCCATTCCGGCACCACTGTTAAAGTTGTCAAATCAAACTCAATTCCAATCAATGACTAAAGAATATAAGGACATGTAATGCCCATATTCGGGCTGCAGCAGAATTTTGACATGAGACGCCATTTTTTTGATGGCGACGAATGAGTCATCAGCTGGTGGTCATCAGCGACAATTTTAGCGATTTTTAATAGTTTGCGTATAAACTTTGTATACATTTTATTAGAATGGCGATTAGTTGTTCAGCTTTCAAGTGTAAAAGTCGCAGCGATAAGAAAGAGCCAGGAGTTTCATAGGTAAATAGACAGTCCGCTCCACCTTTTTAGAGTTTTCTTAGTTTCCTTGTTGAATTCGATAATTATTTTTCTGGCATTATATGTACTTGATGTGTGCTATACGTCGATACTAGTTTTGTACCTTTTGTTAACATTTTAATACGTTTTTTTCGTAGTTAATTAGTATGATACCACACCATAGGCGTAGTCAAAACAATTATCAAAAAATATATAAATATCCCTTCAAATAGCTAAGTTAAGAAAAATATGTGCCACGGCACTGTTTGGTGTCATCGTAAACATATCCTATCCTAGTTCTATAAATGTTTATCTTTTTTTATCGAATAGGATATGTTTACGTAGACAGCTACAAACCAACAAGAGTTGATTTGCAATTTACAATTTACTTACGCATGCTTTTTATGATTTTCCATAATCTTTTTTTCCATTTCGTGGTCTTGTTGAGGTACAAATTTATAACTAGATAAGTAGGTGTGATCTGGGTAGTCTTCTGGAACAAAATCTCCACATTCCGCTTGCACGATATAACTTGCCATTAAAGCTGCCGTATTTTCATTGCACTGCATAATTCCTAAAACATCACGAAGTTAAAAGAAAATTATTAACACGGTTTATAAAGTTAAGCTTGCCGTTAATTAATTACTAATTATTTTATTAATTAAAATTTCGACACATAGCTCTGGACTATTGGACTGCCATTTAAAGTTATTGTTTATTAGAGTTTAAACTAATACGATTTTTGATTATACGAAAAATGAATCCTGGTGTTCACCACTTAGAAAACGGTTCGCTCAATTGATCGATTAGTCGATTCATTATGAAAAATTGAATCGTGTTATTCGATTCACTAAAAACATTCGTAATGCCCGTCACTAATTCGGATACCATATTGTTAATGTTACGTTAATAAACCATTACTGTTAATGTTATGTAGCCCAACAAGAATCTATTTAAAATTATTCTTTGTCAGATGTTTTTGGCAGTATATGTATTTACTACGAATTTTCTATAAATAAGGTATTGATGACACATTAAGGGGGTTTGTGATCTGTGTTCAAAGTTAAAAAGTAATAGTTAATATATCATCAGCACTATCGTCGGTAACAACAACCTCTAGAAAGTCTAAAAATAAATACTTCTTAATTTATATGATTTTACAATAATTGATCATTGATGAAAAACACTTCTTAATTTTTCGTCAGTGATCTTGTAGAAACATTTTTATGTATTTTTTAGTATGATATTGTATGAGTGTGATCGAAAAAACAGCGTCAAGTTACTTTAGGAATATCGATCGATAGTATGTCGTATTATATGTATTATATTAATCGTATTAATTATATGGTGTATGTTATCACTCGTCATTTCTAAGGTAACTTAACGCCGTTTTATATGTATATAAATAAAACAAATAATATAATCTCGGACACCTTTTGAGATTTTTATTATTTATTTTTTTGACAAAGGTTGCGTATCTTTATTACTACAGTCAAGAGTTTTGGGCACCATACTCACTATGCGCTGATGCGGTTCGTCAGTGCATCGATTTGATGCGCGAATGTGTCGATCCGATGTGGCGGAGTGTCAGTTTTTGGGCGAACTGTCAAAATATATAATGAATATCACGAACACAATGGTCGAATTTCCAAACGAACTAACTAATGAATCGTATCAACGAACCGCATCGACACATAGCATGGACGAACCGCATCATACTATGGGTGTATGGATGCATGGACGCATCAAATCGACGCATCAGCGCATTGTGAGTATAGGGTTTTACACTAAATAAATTAGGCCTCGCCTAGATTAACTCTACCTACTACTACTCTACTGCCTAGATTAACTGTACCACAGATGTGTCTTAACTTTCTTTTCTTTAAAAAAATATGACAAAAGTTATAAAACCAATGAAAACACTTTCTCAATGGTTTTATAACTTTTATCGGAATTTTTACTTCGCTTACCTTGCGCTAAATCCCTTTTAACTTGTAAGCAGAATAAATATCGGGTATATTCTTCTTCAAGTTGAGCGGGGTCGGGTGTGTAAAACTTAACGCAGAAAAATAATAAAGGATCGACTAAAGATAGACCTAACTGCCTGGAAATTGGTTTTTGAAGGTCCAGCCAATACTAAAAAAGAAACAAAAAAGTATATATAGAATACATATTTATTGAAATTCACAAAAAAATAGTAGGTAATGTCTTAAAGAAGGAATCACGTTTTTAAATCAATCCTTTTTGTTGCACTTAAAATTTCAACCATCTCAAAAATATTGAATAAATTTCTACTGATTAATACCGCCGAATATTAACTAAAGAGTTATTTCTATGCTAATGCCGTACATAGATTTGAATATCATTTATATTTTATTTTATTCTATTAATTATTTATACGTATAGTAGGTATTTACATTATGCATTAGCTACATATTGTGCATATATCATAACCAGCCATAAAAACATAAAATATTTATGTTTACATCTGGTTTAATAATTTTATTAATGTACTGCAGTACGGCAGATTTTTTTTCTGTAAATACGCATAGAAAAAAGTATATGTAAATTTAATTATAAACGTCCGTCTAGCGGTAAAATTAAAGTGTTTTGGTGAAGTAATGTTTTATTTTGCAGTTTTAACGCCGAACTTTCCAACCCTAACTGTACTTTTTTAGATTACATTTTTATGTCGCATTAATTTTTAAAAATGAGATAGTATAAGGTATACGAATTTTGAAATTATAGAGATAACAAAGATTTACTAATATTTATTATAAAATACTAATAAACAAGCAGGCTTTCTGTTATGCGGCTTCAGCACGATTGATCACATATATGAACTGAGAGAAACAGATCAGACGAACAACAGAATACGAACTTCCACTAGCCTTTATAGACTTTGAGAAGGCTTTAGACTCAATATATCCTAAGACAATAATAGAAGCCCTAGCGAAACAAGATATAGACAGGCCTGATAGTATAGAAACTCTCGCCAATATATACAAAGAAGCCAAAGCAAGAGTAATGATATATAAAACAACCCCAGAGTTCCCAACTGCCAAAGGTGTACAACAGGGAGACGCGATATCCCCAAAGCTATCTCCAGCAACACTAGAAGAAATCTTCCGTCAACTGGACTGGAGCAACAGAGGTTTGAAAACAGATGGAGAATATTTTAACCATCTAAGATTCGCTGATGGCATAGTCCTAATTGCCAATAGTCCAGAAGAACTACAAGCAAAAATTAATGAACTAAATACAGCCCGCAATAAAGTGGGTTTCAAAATGAATTTAGCAAAAACTAAAGTAATGTACATAGAACTAGTGGAAAGAAAAGACATTCTAATAAGTAACACTGAGAACATTTAGCAGAATATATATATATATATATATATATATATATATATATATATATATATATATATATATATATATATATATATATATATATATATATATATATATATATATATATATATATATATATATATTTGGGACAGCTAATACACAGCTTGGGATCTCTACTACCAAAAATCAACAGAAAAATTAAGTTAGCATGGAGTACTTATGGAAGAATCTCAATCATATTCAAGTCTAGAATGCGACTCTATTCACAACCTATGCATGCGAAATATGGACACTTAAAACGGACATCATAAGAAAGCTGCAGGTCGCACAACGCTCTATGGAACGAAATATGCTGGGAATAACCAAGAGAAATCGTAAAAGAATAGAGTGGATACAAAAGACCCAGGTAATAGATGTCATCCACAGAGTCAAATCTCTCAAATGGCAATGGGCAGCACACAAGAAGAACGGACAACAGATGGACCACAAAAATTACATCATGGTATCCACGAGGAATTAAGAGACCTAGAAGAAGACCGAACCGGAGATGGGACCACGATATTAGGAAATTAGCAGGGATAACTTGATTGGGCTGAATAGCCAACAATAGACAAAAATGGGCAGAACTACAAAACTACAGAGAGTATCTAAATATGTGAGGGAAGCATTGTTGAATAAGCTGAAAACGATGATGCTGATGATAATAAAATAAAGATTATAATAAAAGAGACAATTTTTCGATATATAAAAGAAAAAAACAAACTATTCGGCATGATTACAATATAAGAAATTATTAATTTTAATTAGTTATAGTATGTTTTTTTCATGTAACAGATGAAAATAACATTAGCCTGACAATTTCATTAAATAGATCTTCGATTTTATTTATGGGGTCGAATCAAGAACGAACATGGATAAATATCAATTTAATGGCATTAAAGGTCTATTCCCAGAAGGAATCACTGACTAGTCAGCACGTTTCTCATTGGTTAAAATGCATAGAAACCTGATTGTTAGTCTGGTTTCTACACATTTCAACCAATAAGAAACGCGCTGAATCAGGGATTCTTCTGGGAACGGGCCCTAAAATGAAACTAAAATATACGTTTTGATATTTTGACGTAACCAATTTACTTCTTTTTAGACCTACTACTATAATTTATAGTTTTATAATTTTTAGACCTCATAGTTCTAGACGGTAGCCTATCATTATTTGTTCTCTTAATATCTCCCCTAGAGAGACGATAGGAAATTGCGGTTTGCGCTGATATTTTGGAAATATTGTGCTCTATTTAACTGTGCAAAAATAAATATGGTCTATTATTTAATTTTTTTATGCAAAAGCGCAATATCTGTAATGATGTCAAACAGCGCCCCCTAGCTACTACGAAAAAATATATGGAAACAAAATTTATACTGGGCATCATTAGGGAAGAAAAGCTCTCATAAACGAGTTCTAGTTTGTTTAAATCGAATAAGCTAAAGAGTCAGAGTTCTTCTTATTTAAATAAAAGAAAGTTTAACCTTCCCCCACCACTTTATTTTATGAGATAGAGCAAAATACGCTATATCAAAAAAAAATACAAATTTTCCATCGATTACAACAGCAATATTTAAAATACCTCTTCACCTGCATATTTTTGAGAATAATCCTCTTTTCCGATTCACAATCACAGATGCGCCCCTTAGCGGACATTTTTCGAACTTCACAAATAATTTCCAGCGATTTATCTTGGTCGATTTACTTATAACAATTTTTTTCCCAAAGTTATACGAAAAGAAGTTTTTTTTTGTCGTCCTTTTTTAGTTGATCACCCGATACTATGCAGTTTTTTTCACTTTGCTGTAATGCATACATAGATTACAAAAACTGAACACTTTTTATTACTGACAAATTTTTTTATCACCAGTCTACCCCTCCTAGATGATAAACATGTATAATATGTCGCAGGCGCGGAGAATAATTCGGCATTTTGCAAAAAGACTAGGCATATTATAAAACGCCGCCTTTTTAAACAAAAGAAGGTATTTTACAAAAAGCCTAACTATTTTCAGTCACTTTGCAAAAAGCCTAGCAATCAGAATTAGGCATGTTAAACAACGATGAACACTTCTGCAAAAAGACTGCCTGTTTTGAGTCTTACAAAATGCCAAATCAAGGCAAGGCAGATTAGACAATGATAAAAATTTACTTAGTTAAGAGCATAAGCATATTGAATATTTTACGCTTTAATAAAAATACTCCATATTTTCTATACAAAAACAATAATTTATGTCAAAATTTTATTTTGTTTAGACGAAAACAAATTTTTTTGAACCTTATTTAATAAATTATAATTATTATAAGTAACATAATTTTAAATACAAAATAGATATATTAAAACCTTAATATTAATATCTCGTTTAATTTATTATACTCTGTAATTTGATTCTGTGCACAGGGCTGCCTCTTTGTGGAATTTTGTTTTCTTTTTTTGGAATTTTTATTCTTTTAGAATAAAATGAATTTGGATATTTATAATAATCGTCCTTAACCATACCTACTCAATTTAACAGATTTATCATTATTTTCTAATTTTGAAATAGAAGTTCAAAAAATGTCGTTGGATAAATTTGGTTAGTTTTACTAATCCCGAGTAAAATGTTTTATGCAATCTGACTAGTCTTCATTAGGCATTTTGCAAAGCCACTGAAAACAGATAGGCTCTTTACAAAATATCCTTTTATTGTTAAAAACGTCGGCGTTTTATAATATGCCTAGTCTTTTTGCAAAATGCCGAGTTATTCGATACGTCTGCGACATATACGCCACTGGTTTTTAATACCCAAAATAAATTTCCGACTTAAGCACCGCTACTGATTACAGCAAACCTACGCTATTTGTTCATTTTACTGCTGTTTGTGAAATTGTCACAGTAATTAAGTGAGTGTTAATTTTGAGAAGCATGAATGTTATTTTTTTCCTTTGAACAAATATGGAATTAAATAAACAACACGATGGTCATGGATTAAGCTCTTTATGTATTTCGATGATTTAAATTACATGTTGGCGTTTATTTTTATTAGTGACCATAATGATTATGTAATATTTATCGAGATGGAACTACTCGAAAGTGGCATAAACCTTAATTTGTCAGTGCCGCGATAATAATAAAATAAAGAATCATTAATCACTTGTACAAACATTGCATCGAAATAACATAAGGTTAAGTATGTTAGCAACTTTATCTCTAACTCGGTATTTGTAAATATTTAATTAGCATACCATTTAATTACTGATATTTTTGTATATACATTTCTGACTGATCTATGTTATTTTTTTATTAAAATCTGATTTTTATACTTGGATAAAAATACATAGTTATATTCATTTCGTTTTGTCTTTTACTCCTACGTGGAGCATAGGGCTTCAATAAATGTTCTCCAGCGGGTTCGGTTGTTGGCAATTGATTTGACATCTCGCCATGATCAGTTTACTGCTTGGATCTCCTTTTTAGGGTTCCTTACCCAAAGGGTAAAAACGGGAACCCTATTACTAAGACTTCGCTGTCCGTCCGTCCGTGCGTCCGTCTGTCACAAAGGTCTATGTTATGAACCGTTATAGCTAGGCAGTTGAAATTTTTACAATGTATCTACTTATATGTTGCCGCTATAAGAACAAATACTAAAAACAGAATTAAATAAATGTTTATAAAAAATTGGTCAAGTGCGAGTTCGACTCGTATATAAAATTCTTACTTAAAAGATAATGTTTAGTAAAAGTACTTTTTTATTTATAAACATTTATTTAATTCTGTTTTTAGTATTTGTTCTTAACATTGGCGTAACTAAAGGGGTGCCCGGGTGTGCCCTCCCCCCAGGTACTGCTGGGCACCCCCAGAGAAATCCTGGATTATGACTCTTGGCTACGTATTAATTTTTATTTGCTTGTGATGCAGTAAAAATGACGTTTTCTAGTTTTGTTTAGTTAATATTATTGTGTTCAAAAAATGTGTTAATTTTTAAGAATATTTGTAGGTATTTTAGTATCTACGGGAACACGGTTTGATAACCAAGTCTATGAAATTTATTGATAGAGAAATTCGTGTAAGCGTTTTATTCAAAAAATGTGTTTTTTAAAATTATTTTTCATTTAAAAACAAAAGCACTAGGCCCCCCCGTGTTCAAACCCGGCCATCTTTATCGAATTCCTGGATTTAACTTTGTTGTCTAGCCAAATAGATAAAAATCTACAGCGATAACGATCTATTGTAAATTAATAATTCCTATTTTCATAAAATTTATGGAGATTAGCCATCAATCTCGATCGAATCGGTGGGAACCTCTTGTAACCTAATTTCCTTCATCTCCCTATTTAGCGTTTTTTTCTGTTCAAATAAATTAATCTGTGTGAATAAATCATCTACCTTTTATTAAAAGGGATTTAAATCGAGGGAAAACGAGTTTCTTTATAGGCAGGTAACGTTAAACTTTATTTGAAGCTGAAGGAAAACCATCCATTTAGATTTAATGTCGTTAATGTTTATTTTTTATCTTATATTTTATTTCTTGTTATTCTGTTATTTTATATTTCTTTATGAGTGTATTTCTTAAAGGTTTTACTTAGACAACATAAATAAATAAATGCCTTTATTGTCAAAATTGTTTACAATTTGTAGACAAAGGTAAAGTAAACAAACAAAAGAGAATACAAAACTAGTATACAAATTACATTGTCAGTCTTATTGTTTAAAATAAACATTTATACATGTTTACAATGTCAAAGAATAAAAAAATAAAAATAAGATTCAAAAATATTTAGTAAGTTTATAGTAAATATAGTAATAGCAAATATTAGACCAGTGTTTACAAGATCAAATTCGATTATCAAAATATAAGTCATTTACTGCGTAGAAAGCCTTGTCTAGTAAATAAAATTTCAATGCTTTGTGAAATGAAGAAAATGATGTTATAGATTTGATTTCAAATGACAGATGATTGTACATTTTTTTCGTGTTGTATAATATTGAACTTTTAACTAACTTTGAGCGTGGGGTAGGTAGATAAAGCTCTTGCTTCACGTTCCTGAGTGGATAAGTGTGAGATGGCCTTTCTTGAGAAGCTGATACATGCCTACGTATTAGGCAAACGGATTCAAATATAAATACGGAAGGAAGAGTCGCACAACACGTACCCCAGAATGGAAGGGCATATCTGAGGTACTCAAAAAGTGCATAATAGACAGTTCTAGCCACTGACAAGTTAAGCTCCTTAGAAACAGATCTTAATGCAAAACAGGCAGAGCTTAATTTTTTCAACAAAACGTCGATATGCATGTCCCATTTTGTTGAATTGTCTACAACAATCCCCCAAGAATTTTACAGATTTTACGACGTCAATGGTGGTGTTGTTAAGTACAAAAGGCTGCAGCGAGTTTTTATACGACAAAGCTTTAGTTTTAGAAATGTTGAGACTGAGGAGGTTCGAATCGCACCAAGATTTAATGGCGATTAAGTCATTGATATAATCCTATATGAGGTGACCGTGACGTCCTTGTTGCTCCAAGTGAAACTATAGTGTCGTGCGCAAAAAGACATATTTTACCACTGATGTTTATGTTAGCAATGTCGTTAATAAAAAGAAAAAACAAAATAGGGCCTAGTACTGAGCCTTGAGGTACTCGTTACTACATTCTATTGGCTTGCTAGAAGACAACGTGGCATCCACCCTCACAAGTTGACTTCTGTTGCTCAGATACAACTTAAACCATTCGAGAGAGCCATCGATCGAAAAAAAACGGCGTCCAGTTGGCTTGGAAATCACGATCAATGATATTCCCCATGTAATTTTACGTATAAAATGATAGCAATCTTCGTAGCCATTGCCGACGCCGTTTTTTTATCATATTTTAGTTTGGTCATGCACCACGTTAACGAGCTGTTATATGATATATCAAAACCATTAGTATACAAACAATTTCTTGAGGTGAGAACCTCTTGTAACCTAATTTTTTTTCCGTGCAGTTTTTTATCCTTTTAAAGAATTTATCTGTGTAAATAAGTCATCCGTCTAGTTAAGGATTTATATACTTTAGAGGACAGATAAAAAAAGATTTAATTTAAGCTTAATAAAATCCCATCACATATTCTCACGTTTATTAAAGGCTTACCTTCGTAGCATTGGTATCGGAGTATTCAAGACCAAAGTAGTCCGCTTCCAACAGGTGCAACTGTTTACATACTTGCTCGAATAATACGCTGCCCAATGCTTTGGCCTGAAACAAAAAAATGTATTCTTATTATAATGAAATATTAATATGGAATAGACAAGACTATAACACTTTGCTATAACTAAGTTAGTAAATATACGCCATATGATCGAAAACGGTATCAAGTTCCCTTAGCAAAAATTAACTGTATGATTTATAATACATATCATAAATCGGAATTTCTAAGGTAACTTGACGCCGCAATTTTTTTTTTGATCATGTGGTATATTCATCGACAGTTTTATGCTTATATACAGCTGTAGCAGTTTGATAACTTATTTTGAAGTGCGGAAGTCCATACTCATGACTACTTTTACCTTCTGTGCTTTTACCATATCTAACATAATACAGAGTGTCCCAGAAATAAGTGCAGATATTTTGAGGTTTGGGTTCTGCCACTTTGGTCAAAAGAAACATCTTTTATCTTTACCATTTTTAAAATAAATAAAATCCCCGAGTTATTTAACTTTGAAAAGTTTAAAAAATAATGGCAACATTTTGAGAACTGCTGGCGATAACCATTAAGAGATTTTCACGAGGTTTTTCAGGTTATTCGACGCCCTGTGTTGCCAAATAGTCAAAAGAAGTGTATGATTAGTGAAATCTGAAATCCCTGGAATGAGTTGTTGTGTGTCGTTCGTATACGGTTTATTTGTCTGATTTTGTCGATGTTCGGAATAGCGAATTTCAATAAACATGTTGGTATTTTCTTATATATGATCTCAGTAAGATAAATATGGTGAATTGTTTTATTAAATTTAGTTCTAAATAAAGTTATTTTGCGGTATAACCATGATGTCCGTAAACCTCATAAGAATAATTTTACCCAGTTTGGTTCTCATTGAAAGGGTAAATACAAGCAAAATATTTAAAAGAATGTTTTTTTATAGAAACTACTTCGTAATATGGCAATGTTAAGAGTTATTTTTTTAAGTATAATTAAAAATAAATATAAAAATGTGGTACCTATGCCTAAAAATAATTAATGTGGTTTGTTTCTAGAATTGTTAGGAATAGACACTGATATGATTAGAATTAATACTCGTAATTTTTGTGTACAAATTTAAAATTACAGTGAATATAAAAATAATATGTTGAATATGGATAATGTACGAGGTGGCAACACTGCAAGGTTTAGATACACCGCACAATGGGGCCGATTGCCATTTTTGCGGCCAGAACCTTATAAAACAGAAGTTGCTTTTTCAAAAATTTTGATGACCATAGAATACAGAAAAGACCTAAATATTATATTATGCACAGAAAAAATTTTTGGATGCAGATCTGTAACCAGTGAAGGGCTGTAATGTCGAAGGTTTAGTTCTACCGTGTATAGTAATTGCAATTTGTAGGGCCCGAATAATAAGTAAAATTTCTTGATTAATTTTTAAATACAAATATTTTTTTGCAGTTTTTATAAAAGTACAATACTACTTGACTATTTCTAGCTATATTTTGAAAAAAAAAACTTTTTCACTGATGCATACTAGATTAATTAATAAATTAGTATAATATAAAAAATAAAATATGCTATTTAACCTTGAGTTTTGTTGAGTGCCCAAAGTTGCCCAATTTATTGGCTGATGTTTTTTGAAAGATGGGACATTACCCTTCATGTATTTGTTACCATCTTGCGCAACTTTGCGCAATTTAAAAAAAAATATTTTTAAATGTAAGTATGTCCTTGGTATACTTTGAGTAATAGATACTATAGGTCTTTATGATTTATTTAAATTAAGTTCGTGTGATTTTAATAAAATCTGATACTCATGAATCGCCTGTAATCAAGCACATAGTTAGGGGGTCCAAGGGTCCTAGACCCTTCAGTCCGACCCCACCTCAAATCTACAAATTTTGTGGGTTTTAACTGAATTAATGCTTAGATCGAGGCTTAGATAATATACAACTCCCCACTCCTTTTTTATCTTTTTAATGGAACAACATGGAGATTTGAAGTAAGGCAATATGTTTAAAAATATTACGTTTTAGTCTAAATATGACAGTTTAAAATTTCAAGATGGCGGCTTAACTTATTAAAATATCCGCACGTAAATTCAAACTATGATATGTACTAAAATAATGAACCGATTTTAAAAATTTAACCATTTAAACAAATTATTTTTAACTAACCTAACCTAACACATTACATTACGCTAAATTTCAAATCTTTTAGTTGCTCTAATCCAAAAATAGAAGGAGAAAAAAAAATCCGGCACCCAAAACCACCCTTCCCCAGAAATGGTTATTAAAATTTTTGGAACCCCCTCATTATCCGAAATTTATTTTTTTACATGCTTGCCTGTAATAGGTACTCGAAAAATCTAGCCCATACTTTCTTGATTACGTGCCGACTACTCATTTTGAGACATGTGAGACCACGATTGAAAATAATTATTTTTTTACTTCTTCAAAACTAGAATCCAAAAACAATATTTATTTTTTTTATCAAAGTTGTTGGTTACATACGGATAAAAAAATATATCAAACAGACCGATAAACAGACAGACAGACACACAGACATGCCACAAGACAACAATATTCGAAATGGCTTGCAAGGCAAAAGTGTTTTGTCATTCGGGTATTTTTTCTCACATTATATTGATTTGGTTTGGTTGGCTAATATGATGGGTATATACGTGAAGTATAATTTAATTAACTAAAATTTTGAAGATTGACTACCTAGAAATTCAATTAAGCAAAAACTGTTAAATTCTATATATTTTTGGTTGATCCATATATCTTTGAAGGTTTTGGCCAACGATTCTTCAATCGGCCCCACCGTGCACCGTGGAGAAATCTCAGGTGAATAAATAAGTGGCTCTAAAAAGTGCTTTAAAATTTCGCTAAAAAATCAAGAAAAATATAAAATTTTCAAAAATTTTTTTTCGAAAAAAAACCTCATAGGCGTGTTTCTGAGGCTGAAATATACCTACTACCAGTTAAAATATCTGCACTTATTTCTGGGATATGCTGTATATATACGGATTATACATGGTAGACTATGTAGAATATAGTATATGACAAATATTAACCACTGGTAATGAAAATTAATGAATAAGCTGCGCTACAGCCACAAAACTAAAAACCAACCTATTTTTTAGTCAGATAATTAGGAAGTTATAAAGCAGTTTTTGTTATTCTCCCATTTGTCATGATTAATTTAAGCTCTTGTACGATAAACACTTTTACCTGACCGTTTCAGTAATTTGTTACGACTTTTTGCCGGAAAATAATCTACTTAAACACATTATATTTAATTTTTTGTTTTCATTATAAACCTCGTTCATGTTTTTTAAATCCTTTTAAATTCAAACCAAGCCATTGTTTTATATTAATTTTATTATAAACTTTGCTTTATTTGTATCATATTTAAGTCGTATATAAATGTTGGTGTGCGACGACTGGTATATTTTGCACAACTTTTTTACGCTAAAATTCTATTTATATTAGTTTTAATATGGGCAATGAAAATATAGGCTTTAGTATTACCCTTGATTATGTATGTATGTATTACCATAGTCCTTTTTTATTATTGATATTTTGAGAAAAAATCATTCCTCATAAAAATGTTTGCTTGTTCTAAAATGGTTAATCCCGTTTATACTTTTCCAAATTTCCATACCGTTTTAGAGAAAATTAAAACAACATGAAAATATGGTTAAATTTAATAAAAAAATCAAAACGCCATTCCGTTTTACCCGGCAAGCAAAAATGACAGGTAAAACATTATTGCCATTAAATTTCCATTCCAAAAATACCTTAATATCATATACCTACTATAACGAGTGGTTTTTGAAATATTTATAACCTTTTTTAAACTAAATTTACTGCTTATTTAAATTAATTGCCCCCTTAAAATTCGAAATTCAAAGTATTTTAATTATTTTTAACAGGAAGTATTGTATAATAGTGTCCCCTCTTCATAATTCGGTCTACCAAAATTTGCAATCTTGTTTGATATACAGGGTGGTCCGAATTGTATTCCGGAAACTTCGGCAGCATATTCTGCAGATAAAAATAAGTAAAAAAGTTCGTATAAATGTATGTCCTTTCTGAAGTAACGTCAATATTTGGATGAAAATTGCTGTCTGGGAGTTTTTTGATATGAGAAATTTGATTTTGATGTCAATATGACTCCTATTAGTAGAGGGCGCCACCTACATATTTTTAACTGGTTTGAAGAGTAGTAACTTTTTGTCAGTACCTGTATAAAACTACTGAGTAAAAAATATACATTTACGACGTTTTTTACGTGAAAAAGGTCTCTTGGTAAAAATCGCTACGAGTAATGGTTTTCGAGATATTTGGAATCGAACTTATCAATACCTGTCATCATTGACATAAATTAAACATGTTGACTAAATAGTTATTAGATTGAAATCATAAATATGAAATGTGTTTGTGTCAAAAGTTCAACAGAAACTGTTTTATCATCATTTTTTACAGAAAAAGTTATGATTAATTTAAAAAAAATAAAAATTTCCCAAATTTATTATTTCAGTGAAATAACTATCTACTCAACGCACGTGTTTATTTTTCGTCCATAATGACATGTATTGACTGTTTCCATTCTAAATATCTTAAGAACGGTTGCTCTAAGCGATTTTTACAAAGAGATATTTTTTACGTAAAAAATGTTGGAAATGTATATTTTTTCGCTCGGTAGTTTTATACAGGTACGGACAAAAAGTTATTACGCTTCAAAACAGTTAAAACACATGTAGGTGGCGCCCTCTACTAGTAGAAGTCATATTGACATCAAAATCAAATTTCTCATGTCAAAAAACATCCAGACACCAATTTTCATCCATATATTGACGTTACTTCAGAAATTATTTAGAAAAAATCGAAATAAAAATGAAACTTCTACACCCTGTATCACTGAAACTAAGCATTTTAGGGCATACATTTATACGAACTTTTTTACTTATTTTTATCTGCAGAATATGCTGCCGAAGTTTCCGGAATACAGTTCGGACCACCCTGTATAGAGGGCGAGTCAAAAC